ATTTTTTTTTTAATTTTTTTTTTATCTCAACAAAAACTTGCAATGATTACGAAAAAGATTGAACTATGAGTTAATTATTCGTTTAATGATTTTTCTCTTGAGAGAAAAAGATTTGATTTGTTCAATTCTTTTATCTTTTTTTTTTTTTGGGTACCTTCTAAATTACTAAACAAAAAAAGCAAACACAATGCCGTTCGTTCAAAGTCCAAATTTCCGGTAAAGAAATAACACTCCGCTGGTCAGGATAATGATGATGATGATGATAATTATGATGGTTGTATGATATATAACTAATTGTAAGATATATAATTTTGTGGTTTTAATTGATTCATTCTTCATAGGGTAAACGAAATATTAAAGAACATTTTTAATACATCCTGTGTATTTTTGTTTTTCTTGTTCTTCTATACGTATGATTTATTCATAAGATTATTATATTTGTCGATATACGTCACAATCTGTTCTATGATTTATTGATTATTCATATAAATTGTCATTTAATTCGTATTTAAATATCATTGTTATAGCATCGATTAATTGCAATCAAAATAATTGTACTTATATTAAATTAATTTCCCAATAAATAGAAAATGAAAGAAATAATAATTCTGAGAAAAAGAAAACAAAATTATAGTCTGTCAACGATGTTACAAGTAGATTAATAAAACATGTATTATACATTCGTAATAATTTACAACTAATGGATCGTGTTAAGTTTGTTTTTTATTTCTTTTTCTTTTCTTTTCTCTTAACTTAAACTTTGTATATTTCTCTCTGTAGAAACTTCTCATTAGCAATTAAACGAATGCAATAATATTGGTGAAAGGATTAAATAATTAAAAATAACGAAAGTCTTTTAAAAATGAATAAAGAATAAACTACGATGAAGATTTCTGTCTGATGCGAGTCTAAAGAAGACTCTCTTTGCTTAGAAGTTAACGGAATACGGACATTGACTCTTTCAGATTTACATAGTATCCATGAACATCCGTGATTCACTGTTGTTGCTTTAAGAAATGTTCGACGATTTTATCTAGAACGATGCTAAATAACCTTTCACAAACCATACTTTCTGCATCCCATAATTATTATTACCTATTTCAATGTTTAATTTTACGATTAAAAAAAACTCACGATCGGTTCCAAATTTTTCGTTAAAAAATGCAAATGTATATAATCGATGAAACGTTTGACCATCTCCATGGTAAGATGTTTCCCCATAAATTGGCAATAATTGATCAGTAAATTGTTATCAATAAACTGACAATTATTGACGAATAAAATTAAAATATATATATTACCTATTGTTATTAATTATGTATTCGTTACACCTGTAAACGTTTTTTCCTCCCTCTCCCTTTTACAATAAAAAAAGAAATGATCGATTCATTTTATGTTTAACAAAAGTATGATTTTTCTTCGAATATAATTTCTTTTGTTCACTTAAAAGTGCCTTAAAAGTAAGATGAGTGATTATACGTTACTAAGGGAATTGTTGTTGTTTCGTTACGCGATATTATTATTAATTATTTCCATGAATGCTGAACGCCTGTCGTATATGTTAAACAACTATGAGTACCTTTTAAACGAGAAACTTTACCTTCGCGTGCGATATATATATAGATAGAAAGAGATACATACACGTTTTTTGTTATGTAACAAAATTGATTGTCAACGAGAGGTTCAAATGAGGCCACTACGATGTGCGTTCAATGATCTTCCTTTTGATACTAAACAATATTCAATTACTTATTGTAACGAGACCCTGAATTTTACATACACATTATCTTTTAATATTTTTTTTTTTTTAATAACAACACATATTCAAATCAAATATTCATAAAGGAAAGATTCAATTATTTTATTACTTACTGTAAACATAAAACATTAATATTTTATTTTCGAATTAAAAATAATTATTATTAGTTCTACTAAAACAATTTTTAATGCAAATAAAATAATAATAATCTTCTACTTTATTTTTTCTATTTTTGATAATAAATATTAACTGAAATTATGTTGAAAGTGTAATTTTGAAAAATCTTGGAAATAGTACAATCGGAGTGCAATCAGGGGGTGGGGATAGATTTGCAACGTCTAGGCTAAATTTAATCCGTTCACTTTTAAATAGAGATTGAAAGTATAATAAATTCGTTCGATCATCAAATTCGATACTATACACACACAAAAAACCATTTACATTTTGATTCTGTAATATGCAAATAACAATTATGAAATTTTGCGATGATGATCAACCGGATGGGAGTTTGTGGTCGAGCACGTAATGCCACTAATTTCTAACATTTTCTGCTTGAAATGAAGAAAATGATAGTTCCGCATCGCGACCTCGACAATGTCGAACCTTTCGCTATCGATTTAACGTAATGACGTTCGAACGAGAGAGAAAACGAATTGTACAATAGGTAAAAAAAAACGAAATCTTGTTTTGATAAATCTTAACATTTTTACAAATTCAACTACGCCAGTTTTGAATCGATTAAACCAATCACGATCATTTGTGTTCACGTTCTTCGATAGTTTTTTGTAGAAAAAAAATTAAAAAGACAAAAATAAACTAAAAGAAAAGAAAAAAAAAAAGAAAAAAAAGCACCGATAAATCACACGCAACACATTTGGAATTCACTTTCAACAGCGTTGTTGAAACTTTCCGTTTTGCGGTTCGTTTGTAAATGAATTGTTTGTAAAAATAGGTACTTGCGTTACCTTCTGTATGCGGTGGCTTTGAAGAAGCGTCCATAAAACCACACTAAAAGGTAGAGAAAACGTGTGTCCTGTCACCACCGCGTATATATCCTTTTTATTGCATAGAACTACTTCACTCCACTAGATATATATATATGCTATGACACTCTGTTAAATCCTTGTTCTTATTTTTTATAATATTTTATTTTATTTTATTTGTTCGATGCTTTTTCTTATCGCGTTGTTTTGTTTTTCTTTTAATATTTGGGTTATCAATAATAAATCCATTTTGACACAATATGATTTAAATGTGCACTCGCGTACGTCAAAATATAATATGACCACGTTGCAAATTAAATGGGTAACTGTTTATGGATAAGTAAGATCACCAACAACACTGGGTTTCACGTTACTCGTCTCTATGTAAATTATTTTCAATTAAATATATAAATATATATATGTATACAAATTATGTATATTATATTAAACTTTTAATTATTACGCGCGTAAAATCGTGAACTTTACGTAGAATTCAAATTAAAATGTTATCGATTAGTCATCATATTATAATAATCATCACTCAATCATTTGTCATAAATATTTGAAAGTTCAAATGTTACAGGTAGATTTTCGAAATCATAAATTCATCCTAATTTTCGTCGAATATGTGGGCGAGGTAAATACTTTCTAAAGTTGTTAAAAAAGGAAATGGTACGACGGTGACGAAACTCGGAGAAGTTTCTCGTTGGATTTACCTTTGCGTTGTATGACTTATCATTAACAACTGACCTTGAAATTAATTAACATTTTTTTTTGTTTCCTTTTCTTCATTTTTTGAGGGGGTTTTATATATATATAATATTTAATTTCGTGCTTGGAAAGATTTGAACAATGAAATATACAAACGGATCTAATGCAAACGAATAAATTCAATGTTATTAATCTTACGTAAAAAAAAAAAAATGAAAAATAAAAATATTATTTTCCGATGCAACGCGCCCACGTAATACGATTTCTAATCAAATGAAGAACACACCTAATGCAATATCCTTGACACCGTCTACCCAAAGGATGTGCTAAAGGTCGGAATAACTTATGCATACACATAGAGATACACATGGAAACGCATACTTACACCAACGTTTTAGTTATCATCGAATTAAATGTAAAACGAATGTGGTAAGTTCGCAAATAATTTCGTTATGTTATTTAGTTAAACACAAAGACAAATTTTTACCATTCATGAAGGACGTATAAAGATCAAAAAAAAGAAAAAAAGAAAGAAAAGAAAAGAGAGATCGCAAAAAATAATTTATGCGCTTGCAAAATAAAAAGGCTGTTAAAAAAAAAAAAAGAAATAAAAAAAGAATCATTCGCAGTAAGATTTCTAAGAGAGAGAGAGAGAGAAAGTTCAACGATGATCAACGTTTCCAAAAATAATTGCAAATAAAATCAGTTGAACTCAATTCCATAGGAATATGATTTTTAATGATAAATTCCATCGAACGGAATCGCAACCATATTTGGAATGCCATGGAAACATTTTCTAACTGAAAATAGCGATGCTAGAAGGAGGAATGAAGTCGTGAGAACGTTTGAAGACATACCAACCGGTGATATCATCTGCAGAAGAAAAAGAAGAAGAAGAACGAAACGAAACGAAACGAAAGGAATGAGAGCAATAAAAAGAACAAGAACAAGAAGACGAGCAACAACAACAAAAAAAAAAAAAGAATAAAAATAAGAAAAGGGTAGAAAAGAAGAAGAAGAAGAAGATCGAAGGACTCGGAGTGGAGGATTCAAGGTTGAAGAGCAACCGGTACGAGGTTCTCCAACGCGTTCTTTAACGGTCTTACCACCACACCACGGTTGGGTATAGTATACCATCCAACAACGATAGACGCGGGCGAATAATCTCGACCTTGACTCCGGAAGGGACCACTAACAGAGAAGAGTATCATGCTCGACCGATCTTGGATCTTTAAAAAAAAAAAAATAAAAAAGAAAACTAATCTCCCTTGGGGAACATTGCAAAATGTCAGTAAATCCAAAGAACGTTTTCGAACAGATGGTTGCAAGAAAAAAAAAAGCTCGGTTCTTTAAAGGTAACACAAAGGTTCTCCTAATATTATCCTTACGAAAACTCTAAAAAAAAAAGAGTATAAAACATTCATGAAATAAAATATACAATCATATCACCGAATAAATATTACAATTACATTCGCGTAATGGGGAAACTTTTCAAAAGTGTCAAAGATGAGATAGATCCAACTTTGATGGTGATCCTAGAAACTTACCCGTCCCCATGGCTGATAGATCCAGCCACCTTACTCCTCGAATCTTCAGCCCCCGTTCAGGATCCAATCCTTGATATGGGTATCACTGTGCTGATGTAAATGAGAAACATATATATAAAAAAAAAACAAAAAAGGGGGAGAAAAAAAAGAAAGGAAAGATGGTTCGTAAAATAAGACGTTCTCGTAAGGATAAGGACGAAACTATTCGTCCACACGGGAGACCGCGGACGAACTGGTATCTGTTGAGAACTTTTGCTGAGACTTGGAGGTGAGACAACGACGACGTCATCACCGGCCCGATGTCTCATTGGCCAACGATCCTTCTCCTTTACTCAACTTGCCTCTCTCTTTCTGAGAGCTCCCTTCTCCTCCACCTCCTCTTCACCCTCTTCATCCTTCACCTCCTCCTCCTCCTCACCTTTACACTTACTCCTTTCCATAAACTCCTCTCTCGATACTCGCGTCTATCTTCTTTCTTTTTCTTTTCACTCATTTACTCTCTCCCTCTCTCTCYCTTTCTCTCTCTCTCTTTCACTCATTCACTCACTCTTACATACACCGTCTTCTCTACCTCTCACTTCTACGAACAACTTCGAATTATTCTGTTTCCTCCTTCGACGTTCTCCCACGGCAGGACTTAGGATTCGTGTGTAGAAGAGAAGTCTCTTACGTTCAAAAGTTAGAGACTTCAATGCCTGGGGGAGACGAACGATCTATCTCTTATTTTTCTTTTCATTATATATAATATAGTCTTCTTCTTAGTATTGTTAGTATAATAAAACCATGAATGTCGTAGACCTTAACCCTCCGCCCCCTATCCCTAAAATTGTATCTCACATTTCTTTAGTATTCATTAATAATTCATACCTCTACATTATATCGTCAAATTTCTATTACAATATTTTGTTCATATTATAATATCATTGGGGTTTTCTTTTCTTCGAAAAATTGTACAAAACTTAATGTTATACCCCTATAAAAAGGAAAAAGAAAAATATTAAAAAATAGTTGTTCTCTCGTAGGATGATAGTGGACTCGAGTAGGACGATTCACGGAAGCAAGATCTTTCTTTACTTCAAGTCTCATGGATCGCTGCTCGGTACTTCAGGAGATTGCACCGACTATCACGGATCGTTGCTCTTATTTACGAGAGAGAGAGAGAAAGAGAGAGAGAGAAAAAGAGAGAAGGAATCCATAAAATCTAAGGAATACTTGAAAATGTTTATACCGTTTTGTAGATCGCGTCAGATATACCTTACAGTAACATATTACCAAATCAAATTAACAATATACACTTTGAAGCTGCCAATATGATGTTAGCGAAAAATTCTATGTTTAATTATAGTTTCCTAGAAAGGAAGGAAATGATTAACAGTTTTTTTCATTCTTCTGTTCAAATGGATTCAACAGAATCTTAGAAAGTAAAAAACAAAAAATAAATCTGACGTATTATCTTTAACTTTGATCACGTTGATCATCTTTTTTATTTGTTGACTTTTTTGTTTTTGAATCATTCTTTCTGTCTCTATCTCTCTCTTTTTCGAATACTCATTAAAATTTGACGAATTTAAGATACATAAGTATAGAAATACGTTGCACACGATTTTAATGATACTTCTACAAACCATAGTACTTCACAGAGTACTATGGTGTCGGTGAACTCTAGCGCCTTGAGGCATCTTACAGGCGGAGGCCGCGAAGAGAATCTACGAACGTACAACACGTAAGTACCTACCTATATAGTTTGCACCATTACGTTTAATCCACGTCTTACTATTACATATATATCTATATATACACGTTCGTTCAAAGCAGGTATATATGCGTGTATAGTACACACATGTGCGCGTTAAACGCTTCACGGAGAAGATATGTCGTGCAAACTTTGCGATTCACGATGCACATGCTGTCTTCTCGTATGATTTCCTACATAAAATATATCTAATAAATATTATAATTATAATATTTTTAAATTAAATATATAAATTAATGAAATGTTTTAGAAGTATATATATTGGTGTAAAAGAAAAGTAATTTTGTTTAGTTAAATATTGAAATTTATACAAAGTAATGGTAAAGAATTTTTCTTAGCAAATAAATTTGATTAAAATGCTAAATCACATTAAAAAAAAATAATAAAAAGTTATAGAAATATGTTCTATGATCGTTTGTTTTTATTCTCTTCCATGTTTGGTCAAATGCAATCCTGAACTATAAACACCCTCTCGAAGTATTCAATATATATATGTATATTCGGCTTATAGTGTCTGTCCTCTATGTTGTAGCATAGTATAGGTAACGGGTTCGCCAAGGCACACGTTCATTTCGTATTCTTTTCAACGATGCGTCATCCGCTTCGCCAACTCCGGATAACTTCGATGCCTCGACACCGAACGATCGGATCGGTTGCATGATCAAATTTCAAAAAATTTCGAACCGCTTTCTCAACATGCAAAGGAAAAACCTTCATAACAATTTGCGGTTTCCTACCGTGTTTTCAAATTAAATTGTTTAACGTGTTATTGAAAATAACACAGACTAATTTTATTTCTTTAGGGGGAACATTTAAGTTTCTTCTCAGAGAAGAAGGGAAAGAGAAATTTTATATCATTGATTATACTTTTATCTACATTTGAAAACTTGTTTATAACATAATCTTGAATTACTTAATACCATACTGTTTTAAAATGATGTTCATTAAGAGACAACTTCATTTTCAGGACATTTGACGTCAAAAATGGCTAAGCTATAGGCGAAAGTATGGTTCATACAAATAAGTTCCTTCGTTGACCTTGGAATCGTGTATATACCCATGCATGCTGGTTAGTTACCTATGGGTGTAAGCATCGCCATTGATGCCATGTCACTGATTGGCCGATAATGACAATATTTAAGACTAAATATCTTTATTACCATCTAACTTCGACGAATCATTTCTTCTTAGTCCTTTTAATGTACTTTCTATTTAATTAAAATTTTAGTTTATTGTTATTACAATATATTTTCCTTTTTTCTTTTTTTTTTAAATAAGAAAGAAACATACGGAAGGATCGTTCTCTATGACTAATAAAAAAGATATTACTTACATTGTGATGTTATAACTGTTTAAACAAATCAATGCTTGATGCAGTTTATATTGTAAATTCATTTTTTCGAATTTTTATAATAATATTTTTAATGTAATTTACTAAATAACCAATTTATGATATTTAATTGAAATTGTTTGTAATATTTAATCGAATTGTTAAAAAATAAAATTTAAATAATAAATAATTAAATAAATAARTACAATAAAATAATGTAATTTCAATTAATATTGCACACTGTCTGACAAATTTTCTAATATAAGAAAAAGTGCAATAATTACGTCATACTTCTAAGATTTGAAACATGTTGAGTGAGGTAATAGTTTCTTACCGCGCATTCAAGTCACCGTACTCATCGTAAGTATATTAAAGACAGTGACCCCCCCCCCGCTCATCCCAAATTAGTCAACGATCGACTCTTTTTATCGAGAGTAAAATTTCATTCGATTAAATGCGTACGTGTCTTGCATGTCCACGATACACGTTCAGAACATTATTTAAAGTTCTTTGAACTTATCAATGGCGAGAATCGTTAGACCGAATTTTAATTGAAATCTCATTACGCGATCATTTCTTCGGATAATAAATCTGTGCAAAAGAGAAATTCATTGTAGACAAGCAGAAGATTTTACAATCTGAAATAAATAAAGAATAAATTACTACGTGGGTAGTCCAATGCCCGTATGCGTTGCCCACGTACGCGCCATAACATTTGAAAATAAATCGATAATTCTTCAAAAAAAAAAAAAAAATTAAAAAAGAGATGAAATATTTTTGATAAAAATGACGGAAAACAATAATAATATTATAATAATGATAAATTAAATTTAAAAATATCACTGAAGAATATAAAATAACAATAATGATTTGCCAATGATGTAAAATTAATAAAAGACTAAAATATTCACAAATTTGTACATAATAATGTTGGTATAAGATCTTCAAGGCCAGCCATTCAGTTGTAGAACACGACAAGAAAATTAGGATGTTAGCAGCCAGTTTGGAGCATTCGAAGGGACAAAGATATTTAAGGATACTCGGCGGAGACGAGCTGGAACAGGAATAGCGAGAATGACGTAAGCGTCCAATGTGTACACACCGTGCCACAAAGTATAGTCCTAACACATATGTGGATACACAGGATGATCTCGCATGGATACGTACGCACATATATCTACCAAATTATAGAGTTGAATTAGCGTGGTAAAATTAGCTCTCCGTCATCATTTTCTTCATATTCTCGTCATATTTATTTTTCTATTTTTATTACTAATAAAACACTGATCTTTTTGAATTATTATCAAAAATCTATTAATACAATATATAATATGCAATATTTAAAATGACAAAGAAATCAGGCCAAAAGGATATTGAATTATTCAATCAAGAAACAAAAAAAAGTGAAAAACCTCACTTTTCAAGATCAATATACTAGTACAGAAATCCTTATGTTCGATGATATCATCATCGTAATAAGACCACACTCTGTAAATATATAATATGTATATATTAATGCACATATATACGTGTGAGGAGGAGAACGCGTGGGTTTAAAAGTGTAGGAAGTCTGGCCTTCAAAGTCCTTCGATGGAAAAAGCAAAGATCAGGATTGTTGAATGCGTGGGTGCACTTTCGGTGGGAGGACTGGATCGAAGGCATCTTTCTCTTTCTTTCTATAATACATAACTGTATATATATATATATATACATATACTGATCGAGAAAGTGACTGCATAAGTGATCTTACATTGATTTGTATAAGAATTAGGAAAGTCATAAAAACTATCTTTTATCTTTTTTTTTTTGTCATTCATTCTTTTCTTTTTCATAGCAATTAACATTAGAATTATTTCGTCTCTTTTTAATTTATCTTACTTATTCAATAAGTTTGCGTTTTTTTAATTTACGAGCTTCTTTATGTTTTTCTTTCTCAGCATTGTCGTGAATTCGCCTCTTTTTTCGCAGTAACCAGATTTCTTTAGCTCTCTCTTTACGACCTTGCATCATGCTCTTGTACAAATTGCGATGTTTCTTCTTAATCATTTTTTCTCTCAATCTATATTCCTGTTTCTCTTGACGTTCCTTTTCATAAGGATCTTCCTTCCTTACTTCACCTGCCTTCACCTTCATTGCCTTTTTCTAAAATTTAGAAAATATATTGTAAGCAATAAAAAACAAAAGGAAAATTAATTTATATTTGACTATATAGAACAGTTGTTTAATCACCTTTTGCATTTGTTCACGTTTCTTTTCTTTTTCTTTTTCTTTTTCTTTATCTGATACCTTAATTTCATTTTTATCATCTTCATCTTCATCTTCGTCTTCTTCTTCTTCATCATCATCATCATCTTCTTCCTCTTCTTCTTCTTCTTCGCTACCTTCTTCCATGTCTGCTGTTTCATTTTCCTGTTTATCTTCTTCGTTCTCAGAAGACAATTCCTCATCTTCAACTGCATATTATTGAATTAAATTATTAATATTTGAAGATATATATAATGTGTATATTAATGTAAAATTATAATATTTACCATCTTTGAGTTTATATTCAGGATTGATCAATGCACGTTCCTCTGGTGGAATATATGTTTGATCTAATCGGCTTTCATTAAATGGAGACAAGTGTGGTGGAAGAACAGCACCCATTAAATATTTCTGTATAGGCAACAATTCTCTTGCATTCACTGAATCGAACACCCATTGTGGTTGTACGTAATTCCTATATTATTTAACGAATTATATAAGTAAAATAAAGAAAATATTCACAGCAATAATTATACAGAAAACAGAAGTACAATGAAAATATATATTTATAATTATATATCTTTAAAAATAAATTAATTACCTAGATAAGAATTGTTTATCCATACTAGGTCTGTCCACAATCTGATGCGTGATTGTTTCGTCATTTTCATCAAAAGTAGCACCAACGAACAATAGCTTATCCCAAGAAACTTCTCCGCCAAAGCAACGTAAAACAAAAACTAATGGTTCTCTCGGTACTTCTCTGTTCAAAAAGAACTTCAAACCTTTAAATAATGTCTTCAATTTTTTTATTTTTTCAGCTTCTAATTTAGCTGCTTCCAATTGTTGAGCATCAACATCCTAGACAAATAATTAGTAACGTTTATTGGTTGTTTCGAAGATGCAAATTATTCAATAATTATATTTTATTTACCTTAGAAAATTGATCTAATTCCATTTCTTCATCTTCTACACCTTGTATGGTAGGATCTAATGCCATAAGTGGTACATTCAATGCACTTATTCTTTCCGATACAAACGCTTCCTCATCTACAAGATTCTTTTCGCACTGACCTAAAAATGTATCATTTTTTAAAATACCATTCATTACCTTTATTCTTTTTGCATAATAAAATATAGAAATAAATGAATAAAATCATCTTACCGGTATTATTAAATTGTGGAGGATAAAACAAATTAAGAGAATGATAAAGTCTATAATTAACAAATCCAAGCATTACAATATAAAATTCCACGAATATGGACATAACTTTGAAATCAACTTCTCTTTTTTCTTGTGGTTCAAAAGAGAAATGATGTGGTACGATCCAATTTATCGCTTGGCCTTTAATTTCTGCTTGATAGTAATAACCTTTTATGGATATGAAAACTTTTCGTAAAGCTTTAGCTGCTATGACGAAATGTAAAAATTCAATAGTCAACCTTCTGCACAGAGCTGATTGATCGCGTGGTATATGAGCTAATGATGGGAATGTACTGAACAAGAAACATAAAGTTAAACAATCATCTAAATCTCTCAAAGCATCTATAAATGTTGGATAGCGTTCTTTGACGATATGATCCAATTTCAAAGTTGGATGATTACTTAAATATTTTTTCATTTCAGCAAAATCTCTAAGTGCCCTGGCCCTTCCAACTTTTCTATTGAATATCTAAAAAGAAATTAAAAATATATAGATGTTTCAAAGGAAAATATTACAGTGACAGATATTAGAATGATAGATATTAACTCACTTTGTAATCTCTTAATTTCCATATTATCGGTTCGTGCATTAAGAATTGAATATCCTTTTTATGATACAAAGTTTTTATTCCAACGTCACCTTTTTGTGCTCTTTTACGATTACGAGGCTCCCTTGGATAAATTCCTTTCAATATACATAATTTGCGAAATTCATTTAAAGAAAGTTGCAGTTTCTTCAATGCTGATTTTCTGGTCATAAATTGGGCCCCTTCTCCTGATTGATACTGCAAAATACGAAAAATACATATTATTTAAATTATTTAAAACTATGTATCTTATAATTATTTTGTTAAGCAGATAATATTATATTAACATAACCTAAACTATTTCTACTTTTAATTACATAAATATACAAATTAATTCTTACTTTCTTCTTCCCTATTACAACCATTTTGTTTTTTGTATTTTCCTTGCACTATTTGTTAAAAAATATATTAATAATTACAACAATATTAATTACATATACTAAAAACAAACACGTGATAATACACACGACTTTAGGTTTTCTCCCATGCGGGAGCCTTCGTACACATGCGACCGAGTACGCGCATGCGACCGAGTACGCGCATACGACCGAGTACGCGCATGCGCCCGAGTATGCGCATGCGTCCGAGTACGCGCATGCGTCCGAGTACGTGCATGCGTCCGAGTACGCGCATGCGTCCGAGTATGCGCATGCGTCCGAGTATGCGCATGCGTCCGAGTACGCGCATGCTCAGCTCGACGGTGGTGTTTCCATGGACGTATCTATATGCAACAGTGGATACGCGTGGGGCCCTTCCCAGTCTACTGTATTTCAATTGTCACGAGGGTTTAATGATACCCCATATTTGAGTGAAGTATATACGTTACTGAGGATTGGGTAGTGTGTATGCGTGAGAAAAATCCCACGTTCTTGCATCTAACACTAAGTATCACTGCCATGAAATCATATGTTGAAAACGTGTTTTTTTGTTGGCTATGTAATTTATGGTAAAAAATTAATAATAAAATTATAAATATATATTTACGTATATTATTGACAATAAATGAAAAAACATGGAGCAAACAGGTAATTTACTTTATGAGATATTTAAACAAGAAAAATAATGTGTAAACATATAATTTTATGGCATGCAAATCTATACATTTATATATATATATATATGATGTTTACAATTTATTTAATAAAAATTAATTTATTCACATATTATTTTAGAAATTTGTGAATACTTTAATGGTATTATTAAGTATGAGAAGGATGTGTCAGCTGGTATGGCTGCTATACGAACTTTACTAAAAGTTTTGGAACGTTCTAGGTGTAAGTCTTATACTAAATGCATTTATAATTTCTATTAACAATATGTATATTCATTACATTATAAATATTTTCTTTTAAGTGACTATATTAATTTATAAATCTTGATTAATAAAATAAAATATCTATGAATTTATTTATCAATTTTTAACAGCAGAAACAGTCCAAGAGTTAAGGCTTTGTTTACAAAATGCAGTGAATGCAATGAGGTCTACGGATAATCCTATAACTGCTATTGCTTCTGGAAGCGAATTATTTCTTCGATTCATTACTTTAGCGACATTAGACACACCGGTAAAAATATTAATACAATAATCGTCAATTTATACAATTTGGTATTATACTAATCTTTAAATAATATAGTCATTCGCAGAATGCAAAAGAATTATGCTTCATAGAGGGAAAGTATTTTATGAAAAATTAGTTGCTGCACGAGGAAAAGTTGCAAAAGTAGCAGCACATTTTATCACTGATGGTTCTGTAAGTGTATTATTTACCTTTTAATTAGTTTTATTTTAAATTGTTTTTTTTTTTTTTTTATACTTTTATAATTTTAAACAGAATTTGTCTATTCGTAGAAAATACTCACTCATTCCAAATCTAGAGTTGTATTGCAAGCAATGAAAGAAGCAGCTGCTTGTAATAAAATATTTGAAGTATATGTTACCAATTCTTCTCCTGACAATAGCGGGTAATGATGTAATTTTATATATATATATATTTATAATATATAATATTGTTAATAATATAACAAAATAATTTTTTAATAGAGTCGAGATGTGCCAAAATTTAACAAAAATGGGAATTTCTTGTACATTGATATTAGATTCTGCAATGGGATATATTATGGAACAGGTCGATATGGTAATGGTTGGAGCAGAAGGTGTTTCAGAAAGCGGTGGAATTATAAATAAAGTATATACTAATATTATAATTTACGTTTGATCTCGATGAATTGTATTAAGTATTATTTGATTTATCTATTATTATATTTTTTTAAGTTGGGCACTTACACAATGGCAATGTGTGCTAATGTGGTAAAAAAGCCTTTTTACGTATTGACCGAAAGTTTCAAATTCTCAAGGATATATCCTTTGAATCAAGTGGATCTTCCTGATGAATTCAAAGTATGTTATAAAATATATATTTTATTCCATTTGATAATAACATTATAATCTATCCACAAAAAAATATAAATATTTACTGCATTACAGTATACGGCGAGCACTTTAAAAAAGGAACTCCAAAAAGAGCATCCGCTGGTAGATTACACTGCGCCTCATTTTATTAGTCTTTTATTTACCGATTTAGGAATTTTAACTCCATCCGCTGTTAGTGATGAACTTATAAAACTGTATTTGTAACAATTATATATTTTATATTGATTAAAACATGGCATACATGAATCAGTTTTAATTTACTACTATTATAATTTTTTTTTTTTTTTTTTATAATAGAAAGAAGAAAAAAAGAATATATCTGTAACTATGAGAGATATTTATAAAAACAAAAGAAAAGAAAACATTTTTATATACTTGAAATATGAGATTAATAATAAATTTTTTCATAATTATTTGCATAATAATAATAATAATAATTAAAAAGAAAATACAATAGCAATGAAAATAAAGATCATAATAATATATATATATACATAACGTGAACATCAACGTCTCTTGGGATTACAATTTTTGATTAAATTTTATATGTTCATTGAAGACTGAAAAATAAACGCATATATGTAACATATTTCTAGTATAATGTTTTCCATAATGGTATCAATTTTTCTATACCATATTATAATATTATAATTTGCTTTACAACGAAGTAGATACTCATCCATCATACAAAGTTTAAGGGAAAGTAATTTTTACTTATTTACTTCTGCACACTTTATATACATACGATAATAAAATCTATATGGATAGTTCCCGCTTAACAAAAAAATTCCTTCTTCGAAAAAAATTTTTTTTTAACGATGTAACGCAATCAAAATCGATCTTTGATTTTATAAAAAAAAAAAAAAGAAAAGATGCAAAATTTTTTCATAGACAGGAGCTATCTATAAAATAGATATAATAAATATTGCACGCTTAAAATTAAAACATCATCATCATCATCAAGCTCACTTACAATAAAATTCTTTCCAATAAATTTTGATGAGAAATAAAAACTGATTGATTGTGCACATATTAAATGGTATCTAAATTAAATAAAATAAGAGTTTCATTAAAATTGATTATATACGTAAATATATATATATATATTTTAATACTGCTATTGAAATACTTCGTCCAGCAAGTATTGTATTGCGCTTGAACTTTTAATATAAACAACGCTAAAATAATAATTTTTATATACACAAGTATTTTCTTTTAAAGAAATACGAGATGTGTTTCTTTGATTATTTTATATAAATAATATTTTTTTTTTAAATCTTTTACAAGTATTATGAATCAATTTTATTGTATATTTCTAATGTAAAAATATATTTCATAAGTAAAACTGAAGATCGTCCATGAGAAATTTTGTTTTTATAAGTTATTTTTATAGACATAAAAGTATATGGAAAAAAAAAGATTGACACACACTGAAATGTAAACTTAAGTTTACATTTCCAAAGAATAGATATTCAGATTTTATAAAAATGTAACATGGGCGGACGTTTATAATAATTTCTAATGCATAGCAAATGAAATTTTGGAAATATCTTTTGCTAAGTAAATTAATATAATAAAAAATTTAATAACGTAGCTAAAATTTGAACAATTATTAATAACATAGAGAATTGCAATAATTTTCAAAATCAAAGAGACTACGTTATAATAATACCTAATTGTCTGCAGCACCTTGGATGTGAAATATATCATTTATATATCTTATCAAAGTTATCAATTAAATATCGATCGAAAATATTATATCTTTCATAAAACACAAAAGAGAAAATATTCACTTATGTTAATTTTATAAAAAATGTACAGATACAAAATATTATTGATTAAATATTAAGTTTTCCAAATACTTTACTTTTCTGATAAGTCAATATTAAGAGAAATTTACAATTACCTTTAAAGACTACATTTCTTTTTTTCTTTTTTGTAAATTTGTATAAAAATATGTGCCATTGTTATTTACTTATAAATAAGCTTGTGATAATGTTTCAATAACGGTATATATCTGATCAAAATGTGGTCGTTTTTCTGGCTCATATTCCCAACAACGTAACATTAATCGATATATTTCATCCGGAGCATTTTCTGGTGATGGCATGCGATATCCTACATGGCGAATATATATTTGAACCATTTATCAAAATTCAACAAATGTTATTAGACTGATAAGTTATATATGATCAATTACCTGCGTCAATTTTTTCACGTGCTTGAGAATTCGACATACCACTATATGGATTACCACCTTTGGAAAATATTTCCCACATAAGAACACCGTAACTCCAAACATCACAAAGCGAAGTGTATTTACCTATTAATATATAATAATAATTTCAAGAATAATTATATTTTAATAAATATGTAAATTATTCACATAAGTTATTTTACATATATATATATATTTACCAAAATTAAGAGCCTCTGGTGCAGTCCATTTGATGGGAATTTGTTTCATTCCATCTGATACAACATATTCTTGTTCTTCTCTTGACATTCCAAAATCAGAGATTTTAACTATTGACTCGTAACCTAAGATATAATTATTATTCATTCAAATATTTATTCTTTAATGTCTCAATATTTTATAATAAAATTTTTTATAATATTTATTTATTTACCTACGAGACAGTTTCGTGCTGCTAAATCTCGGTGTATGCAATACTTTGATTCTAAATAACTCATACCTGCAGCTGCATCCTTACACATTCGTAGTTGTTCTCGTTGAGTAATTGTGCTAGCATTTTTTCTTAAATATGTTAACAATGATCCCCCTAATAGATGGAGATTTAATAATGTAATAATATCAATTAAATTTTAATACAAGTTTATAACAAATAAATATATGTTACCTGCGACCAATTCCATTACTATCATAATCGGCTGTTTTTGAACACAAATGCCAATAAGTTTAACTATATTTGGATGATCGTACTGTTTCAAAATTCTACCTTCCTGCAAGAACTTCCTTTTCTGTTCCTCTGGCAATGTTCCTTTACAAGTTTTTACAGCTACATCAGTCTTGCATTTTTTAAGCTGTGCCTTGTATACGTCACCAAAATTACCCTATGATAATGAATATTCTATAGTCACTATTCTATTTTTAAAGTATATTTCATACAAGTATCAAATTGCATGAAAATAAAATTACTTACTCGACCTATTTTTTCAATAAGAGTTACGTCATCATTATTGAGTTCCCACCGTTCGCGAAATATTGGTGTTTTAAGAATAGCCCCAGAACGACTGGTCACTGGAGAGCTAGACATCCATTGATGCCTAATTAATTCTTGTATTGATGGAAATGTTGGTCCCTCAAATCTATAATGCCCCTAAAATTGGATTCATTTCTATTAGGTAAATAAATAAATGTAATATTTCTAATGAGATGATTCTCTTTTGTGTATTCTAATATTAATTATTAAAATGATTTATTTACCTCTGGGGTAGTTTGTACAATAAAATGTTTATGGCCATCCCAACAGACAGATAAAACTATTTGACATTCGTCATTTCTTGTTGTTTCACGCACTAAAAAGTCTCCTTTATTAACAAGTAATCTTACAACTTCTTCTCTTGGTAGAACACCGTGGAACCATTCTTCTTCTATTAAATCTCCATTTCCTTTTTGATTATTGGTCAAATGTGAGACATAACGTAATGGTACCTGAATCAAACATGCGTTTCTAATAATTTATTATAATATAAATAAGTAAAAAAAATGAAATTGAATAAAATCAGTTTTCTTTCTCTTCATATATATATAAATGCAAGATGTTCTGTATTTGTTCAAATTCTGGACTATTAGTAAATATGCTATACTTCAAATAAATACCAATAATTCAACATGCTTGACATAATAATGTTTGATTATCTTCGGTCATATTTTTTTTTAATTAAAACTTATTAGTGCTATATAAGCATTTGGTTATATCTTGAAAACAAAATATCAAAATTTAGTTGAAATTTATAAAAGGACGAAAAATCAACCAGTTAGTATATAAACAGATGTGCTGTATGTATAATCGTTTGACAAATTAATTTTAACTTAATACGTATATATTAAAGCATATAAATGTACAATATGTGCTTGCATGCACACACCACACAAATAAAATATACAACACATACAACTGGGGGAACACTGTCTGCTTTTGTTGTAACACCTTCACTACTGGCCCTAATTAATCCATTTTTCGAATCACTTATTGCTGGCAAAGACTTGAAAGGTGACTTTATTATCGTCAGAAAGCGTTGATTTCTTCTTAGTGTAAACAAACCATTATCTGCAACTGTGCTTTTCTGCAAGTGTAGTAGAGCTAACTAAACTTATTTAATGAAAAATTCGCGTATATATAAAATCTATTTGTTTTTTTTTTCTACGCTTGAATTCATTTTAGAATATATATGTATATAATTACACGTGTGTGTGTATGTGATAACACATATGTGCGCATGGTATATATGTGCTATAAATATTTTACATCGAATATTTATTTATGGAATAAATTTTGTTTCAATCGTTAATCAATAGACCAGCTTTTTAATATCGCAGTGCTAATAATAAGTAAATATTTGTAAAAAAGTGAAACAGAAATAATATTTTATATTTTAAGGATTATACACAAATGCATATAAAGATATATATTAAAATCTACCTTATTTATTGTCGGAGGATCGTTGTACGAGCCTTCCATAGATAGATCACATCCTGAAGGTAATTCTTCACATCCTAATTCATTAAGAGCAGCTCTAATATCATCGACCTGTCTTTGTAATTTTTTTTCTTGACAACGTAGTCTCAATTCTTCCCTTTCAGTAGAATAGTCTAAGGCAGAAATCCTAATGAAACAAATCAAATGCAAGGATTCTTTTAAAAATAACGATAATATCTAATGGATTACATGATTTCATTAATTAATTATTTAAAATAATTTTTTTAAAATACAAATTTTTATAATCTTACTTAGAATCGCTGTTATATCCAGGAGAAAATTGTGGATTTTGACGATTTTGTTGTGTTGCTTTAAGAGAAATTTCCAATTCGTTAAGTCTACTTCTTAACCAATCAATAGTTAAATTATCCACAGTTAATTTGTTTGGTAATAATTTTCCTGAAGTATCATCTACGAGATTCTCATCGAAGGTGAATCTTATTGGTGAAACTGCCCTAGTTCTAGATTAATATTATAATATTCGTTATCTCAGAGTAATTTGTATATAACAAGTTAAAAAGAAAATGTTTTAAAAAAACCTACTTGTGTTTCCCTATAAAATCTCTATATTCTTCGATAGGTTTAACTGTATCAACAGCTTTTTGCATTCTTGAATGTATTTCTAAAAATTTATCAGTGGTAAAATCGGAATATTTTACTATATCATGAAGTATATCTTTCCTGCAAATATAAAATAGAAATAATGATGATAAACAATATATATAAGTATTCCTATTAATTATTAAAATGACATTTTTCTTGTCTTACCATGATGTAATAAACTCTTGGTGTATAGCTTGTTGTCGACGAAGTAGACTAGGCAAATAACAAGTCCTTAAATCATGTTCACATTCTGTTACAGCACCCAATAGTAAAACATATTCATTGTGCGTTAAATGTAGTTTCCTGCAAGCTTTTTGGTACTTTTCTCTGACATCATCTAACTTCCTACCTCCTCGACCAGCTAAAATCACAAACAATAAATTTGTTATTAATTAAAACTTAATAAAAGAAATATTATTATTTTGTAATATTAAATATATATTCACATTTAATATAATGTTCTTCGAATCTAGACCTATTAAACTTATACATCTCCAAATTTTTTTGATACTCCATCTTCTTCCTGGCAACATCATCCGTCAACTGAAAACCATACTTTTGTAGATTAATCGAATGTATAAAAATATAATTATAAAATAACATTCCGTAATATCAAATTTGCATTACCTGTTGGAATTGATTATTCAACCAAGTTTGCTCTTCTTGAAAAACCTTTCTCGCTCTTCTTCTTTCTGAATACAAAACGCTAATGTGTTCTATAACAATATTTTCTATAGAATCCGCTTGTTGTTTAATTAATTTTGCAGTTTGATCTATCGATTCCATAATATCTTTCCAACTCTATAACATATATGATATATCAAAATGAAATACAATAAAGTACTTGACATTAATTTTTCAATGAATGTAGTAATTGATAGAAGTCAAAAGATATACCTGTGCAATCAAACTACCAACAAGATCTTCACTGCGCTCTATTTTTTTACCCTGCAATGTTAAAGAAGTAATAGTTGCTGCATATTCACGATCAGATTTAACTTTAGTTGTCAAGCATCGTCTCATTGTTTCCAAAAGCTTGATTTCAGCATCCTGTCTAGTGAGCAAAGCTTCTTGCGAAGCCTGCCCTTGCAGGCTTGTTGAAAAACCCATTTCCTTGTCTGATAACCAAACCATATATACTGTTGGCGATAGTTAATACTGTACAATAATTAAATTCTTAATGATAATTCATATCCACTTCAATCTGTTGTCTTGACATTCGACGATGGTGAAATTAAATGAACAAATTAAAAATCAATCAGATTTAAAGAAGTATTACATTTCAAATAACACATTTATTACTCAACACAATCAAAGTGTATATTTTCATACTCGTGCATGGTTGAGATCAACATTTATATTTATACGGACACCCGAAACGATAAAAATTAACTTTTACGGGCGGAATACCGCCGTGGGATATTCACGATAATAGATATTTGACATTGTCTACATTTTCTTCACAAGAAATTTCTAATCTCGAGCAATACAGCCAACCAAAGAATATTATGTATTTCTCAAAATCCGCCATTGTTCTAAAAGAATATAGAATTTGATTTTGATTAAATTAAAGAAATATATTTTACGATTTATTTCTTAATTAATTAATATATAAACATTACTCATAAATATACATATATGCATTTAATTAAAACAAAAATACTTATGATATATGTTTGTAGGGAAAACAGTGCCCTCTACAGATAAAAATATCAACTTCACCATCCAAATGTACTATTGGTTAATGCATTTACCAATAAGAAGCAAACATTCCTATAATACGTAATAGTAATGATAATAGAAGTATGAATGCATCTATCTATCTATTATATATTTATGACTAAAAGTTATCTTATAGATGCTTAGTACCTGGGTAGTTCAGTTGAAATCAAGAACTTGTGAGATTAAATTACAAATATGTCAGCAAACAAAGCTAACAAACCAGGCCCTATCTTGGCTGGACTTACTCTATCTTCTTTGAAGAAGAATTATCCTGTAAGTATTTATATTAATATATTATAATATATACAATAAAATTTTTTTATATATACATATTTTTTAATACAATCAACAATGTTTTAATGACGTAATATTTCTTAACAGCTGATCCCACTGTTCATTGCTTTGGGTGTTGGTGTAGCGGGTGCTACATTTTACACATTTCGTTTAGCTTTTCGTAATCCCGATGTAACGTGGTCTTTGAAGAAAAACCCTGAACCATGGCAAGAATATCGTGATAAACAATACAAAGTACGTAAATCTTTGAATACAAGATTTGTATTTATTTATTATATTTTATATTTCATTTAGATTCAAAAAAAACTTTACCAAATTTGTAAAACAATGAATTTATCCTTACATTGTTTTTCTTTTGTTTTTAGTTCTACTCTACTGTGGATTACAAAGATCATGCCTCCAAAGCACCCGAATATTAAACAATTTTCTATGTAGTTTGTTATGTAGATAAGTAATATGATAAGAAAATGAATGAACTTTCCATACATTTTCTATATATTCTATTATCATAACAATGTAAATAAATTTATTTAATATTCATAATTTATTAGATGTATTTTGCAATAATTTATAGAAATCTATTTAATGACCATAATCAAGAATCCATTAAAATGCAATTTGTAAATTTCTTTCAATAAATGACTCATTACGTTTAAGTTTATTTTAAATAATGAAATTTATAGAAATCTATCAAATGTTCATAATCCATTAGATCTGTTTCGCAATAATGTATATAAATCTATTTAATAACTATAATCAAAAATCCATTAAAAAGTAATTTGTAATTTTCTCTCAATAAATGATTCTCTCTCTCACACACACACATTACGTTTTAAATTTATTTTAAATAATGAAGTTTATAGAAATCTATTAAATGTTCATAACCCATTAGATCTGTTTCGCAATAATACATAGAAATCTGTTTAATGTTCATAATCCATTAGATCTATTTTGCAATAATGCACAGAAATCTATTTAATGTCCATAATCCATTAAATCCATTAAAAAGTAATTTGTAACTTTCTCTCAATAAATTACTCATTAATAAATAAATTAAATTTTTATGAAAGATTCAACAATTACTGATTTAAGTATATAAAGCAGAAGCATTTGTTTATTCTTCAGTCAATTGGACACTGAAGTTAGCATTAAATAAAGTTAGAGGTTATGTTAGATTTTTATGATCAATGTAGTATTCGTCACCAATGTATAATTGACAATTTCAAGTTTATAGAGTGATAATATCATATATCTATCAAAAATAATTAAATAAGTTAGGAGATAAGACGATTAAAGTATCTGTTACGTGATTGATTGAAAATACTTATCTATTTACGTGTTATACATTTCTTCATTTATATAACCTAATTTATATAAATGTACATATACATATAAATATTGTTTTAAGTAAAAATATAACTAATTACAATGACTTCAACGTGGGAAGATTTTTTTGCCAAACATCCACCTCCACAAGATTTAAATCAAACCGAAAATCTGTTAAAAACATTTATTGAAAAACATTTAAAAGAAAACAATAAAGTAGTATTAATAACGGTAAGTTAATTAAAGAATCAATTTACTCTTACACTACATTTGAAAGCTTATTGATTAACTAGAATTAATATAATTACAATAATTGATATTACAGAGTGGCGGTACAATGATTCCATTAGAACATAACACTGTAAGATTTGTCGATAATTTTAGTGCTGGATCCAGAGGAGCTACATCAGCTGAATATTTTTTGGAACATAAATATGCTGTAATATTTATGTACAGGTAAAAAACTTACAAATGATAAGGATTACATATCTTTCCAATAAATACATGTTACTTTAAAATATGCTAATATTTTATTGTAGACTCAAGTCTTTAGAACCATTTACTAGACATTTCATTGGACATAAGGTATTGGATATGCTCAATTTAACGGAGGAAGCAGATAAATGCACTGTCACAGGTATAATATTGTAATTTAAAGCTTATTTATCTATATACATATTACTCATTATATATTATATTAATTCTTATCTTAATAATTATTGAAAAACTTGTATAACTTATTATTACAGTTGTACCTGAACATACAGAAAAAGTAGCAATGGTATTACGAAAATATAAAAAAACGATGAAACAGGATAAATTGATACAAATTAGTTTTAGTTCTTTGACCGAGTACCTTTGGCTACTTAGAACCGTTTGTCAAGCATTAGCTTGTTTAAAAGATAAAGCTCTTTTATATTTAGCTGCAGCTGTTTCTGATTTTTATGTACCATTTGACGAAATGGTATGTAGTTATTTTTAATTTAATCAAATCATTTATTCTTGTATATTTATAATAAACATTCAATTGATTTCAGTCCGAACATAAAATTCCTTCTAGTGGTCCACCAACGATATCACTTCAATTAGTTCCAAAAATGCTAGAACCTTTAGTTAGTTTATGGGTACCAGAAGCCTTTGTGATTTCATTTAAATTAGAAACAGATGAAAATGTTTTAGTTTCAAAAGCAAGGACTGCTTTGAACAAGTACAAACACAATGTAAGTGTTACCACATTTTAAAATAATGTTTTACAAATAATTTTATATTGATATAAATTTTTCTGTTGCAGCTTGTTATCGCTAATATGTTACAGACTAGAAAGCAACAAGTAATTATTGTTAGCAAAGAAAATGATTATGTGTTGTCATTAACAAACGAACAAATGAAGAACGGCGAAGAAATTGAAAAATTTATAGTCGATGATATAGTATTGAAACATAAAGATTTTTCAAAACTTAGATCTTCTAACTCAACATATAGGTTTATTTCGATAACATGATTTTTCAATTGGATATAACTATTTTTTTACTATGTTATTATTGGTAAATATCAGTTGATTATTGCACAATTAAGGGAAATTATAATTGGATATTGAATATCCAATTTTTCGGTATGAATTATAAATAAATTTTATGAAAAATTCAATATGATATAACAAATTGTTGTTTATAATATTTACAATTACATTTAATTATAAATATAACTTTATAAGTCTAATATGTTTTCAGTCAGATAAATTTATACATATAAAGTATATTTATATCGTTTAAATTAATTGGAATCTTTAATTTTTGATACTTTTAATAAGAATATTGATTTTATCTATTAATTGCTTTTCCGACTGACCACATTGTGCTAATACAAACGTTAGAGCAGAAACATCCTTTTGTTCTGCTGCTGTTTGGGCTGCTTCGTTCAACATTCTGTATAGATTACGAAATAGATTTAACTTTTATAGAATTATTACGAATGAATCAAACTTTATATCATATCATGTTATAGTTAATTTTTTTTATGCACTATTTATATACAGAGAAGTGAATAAAAAGAAAAAAAAAATGATATAAAGATAAAATATCATACTTACTTTAATTTAACAAGATATTTTACTTTTAATTCATCTTGTACTTTTGGCAAATATTTCTTTGCTTCTCGTTCTTGATCATACTTTAGGCACTGATCAATAAATGGCTGAGAAAAAAATTTATCAAATCACACATAGAATTGTTCAAATGTTTAAATTACTTGGTAGTTAATATTTTCATTACCTCATAACCAATTGGAGATTTTTTACTCTTTGATAATTTTTCTAATTCACCCCAAAGACCTTGTTCAGCAAGGCATTGTATTCTTAACCACCAATATCTATAAAGTTGAATGAATAATCATTAAACTTCAATTTAGTTTGAAATAATATTGTTTTCAATTTCTTTTTTAATTAAAACGTGTATATTTTTATATATAATTCAGAATGTTTATTATATACCATACCTGCGTTCAGGTATTCGATATTCTGATTTCAATTTATCCGCAAGCTTTAATTCATTTTGAAGTAATAATGTTTTAACTGTGTCATGAAGAGATTTTCCTACCATTGTTTCATGTAATGTTTCTTCCAAAGATCTTTGATAACGCAACAATTTAATTTGTTCTTCTGTCAAAGCAGCATTTGTATCATTGCGTGCTAATTTAAAATTTTCTTGTGCCGATTGAAGCAATGTATCTCGTGCATTCTATACAAAATAAGTAAATACTATTATTTAATATCATTGTAGTATTAAAATATATATTTCATATTAACCTTTTGTTGATAACTTTCTGCAATAAACCATATTGCTTGCGAATGAAAATCATCATACTGATTATAAATATCTCGTAATGTTTCTCGATTATGATTTTGACAATATTTAATATACAATGCCATTGCTAAAGGACAATGCATTATAGACATCTGTAATGAATAATATAAATGTTTTGTTATCTTATATACTATTATTTAAATATTAAGAATAATGAAGATTCTGTAATTACTTGAAAATCTCCAAGTGTCATATTTTCTCGAAGGTGAAGTATAACAGTATAAACGAGATCAGTATTACCACTTTCTACTGCTTTGTGTAATGCAGCTCGTTCTTCGCCAAGTGTAAGTAACAAAGGTACTTGTAAATGAGCACGCGGTTCATAATCTATCAACTATAAAATATTGAATAAATTTATAGTTATTTAATTTGAGAAAATCTGAAATTCTCATTGAATAAAATAAATTTACTTTAATAGCTAATTGCTTTCTACCACAATCTGCTGCTCTTTTTGCTATTTCACTATACGACACACCAGGAGCATATCCCAATTTATCAGCTATTTCTTCAGCTATTTGTTCTTTATCTAATCGAGTTTGTTTAACCTGAAAGTACAGCAAAAAGTTTCACTATTTAATAATAGATAGAATAATAAATAGATAGTGCAATAAAATAATAAAATGATAGAACATTTACCTTGTAACAAGCCCAATGTGCCAAAATTCTACTTTCTCCATCTATTTCAGGAAGTTGAAGATGACGTGCTATTTGTATACTTAAATAATAATGTCTTCTTGCTACCAATCGGTCCAATAAAACTTGGCTCGTTAAAATATTAAATCTGTTATATAATTAAGAATAATCAAAATAGAATGCAACTGTTTAGTTTTTAATTATCACAACTACAAATTATTAAAGGATACTGTATACATGTTAATGGTATTCCAATTGACGGATGTCTTACTGCATTCAATACCCTCAATGTTCTGCACATACTAACATAATTATCAGGATTCATTGTTTTACTGAATCCTTTACCAAATTTAGCTGCCTAAAATGTTTTTCTTAATTATATACAATTATTTATTTCGAAAGAAAATATTAGCATAAAAAATATGACTCTTACTCTTATTAATAATTTTTGTGTTTGAAAATCAAATTCATGACTTGCACCATCGATGCAAGCTATTATAGCTGAATCTAATTTATCTTTGACCAAGTCAATATAACTGTCAGCTTTGTGACTTTTCTTTTGAAATTGTTTAGATGCCTCCAACAGATATGATGCAGGATCTGTTGAATTTATTCTAAAGATTTTCAATACAACATTTGGAACTTTTTGTATCATTTCATGAGAGGAATTAGATAAAACACGTACTCCATCAATTTCTGGAATAAGATATACTGGTCCATCATAAGTATAAACTATAGTTTCAGCTGATCTTCCAACAACCATTACTGTACTATTCCAACTACAAATCACAGCTTCTGTTCCACACCTACAATTATTCAATATTAATTTTTGTGTATATTTCAAACTGTAGTACTTTTATATTTAAATATTATTATTATTATTATTATAATAAAAAGTATATAATATTTATACCATGCTATACAAGATAATGGTTCTGTCATGTGCGTAGCACATTCACAATATTTTTCTTTAAAATCATATGAACCGATATACAAATGACCAGTGTCTGCATAGAGAGCGATATGACGATTATTTGGAGACACAGCCATTGCGTAAACATTATTTATCTTATTATTAAATAGATTACTCTAAAAAATAACGAACCATATTACAACAAAGCAATAATAATTAATAATTCGTTTAGGATATTTCTTTAAAATCAAACAATCAAACTTACAAATGGTATCGATGTAGTAGTGGTGTAAGGTTGATGTAAAAAGAATATACCTTCTCCATTAGAGAAAATAATTTGAGTTTCTCGGTCATAATGGACTACAAGCCAACAATCAATAGGACCTCCGATACCTGCCAGAAGTTTATATGTAATAAATAAATATAGAATCTTTTTTCCTATAATGTAAATATTACAAACAATTCAACTTACGTGGTATATTAGATATTTTTCTTATCTTTGGTTCTGATGCATTAGTTACTAAAAAGATTCGGTATGCAGATGTTAAGACAGCGACTCCTGTACCAACTGGAGTTGTGAAAAATTTTGCTTCTATAACTTTAGTGTCTTTTGCTTCCTAAAAAGAAAGCAACAGATAAAACAATATTAAAATATAATTAATTAATAATAATGATCAATATTAATATGAATGAATGTAACTAACATTTCCCATGCCAAAAGTATGTTGATATGTTCCAAACATATCGTAAATAAGAACCATGCCATCATCTTGAACGCAAAGTAATTCTTCTTGTTGAGACCAACCCAAGTGAACTAACAATCCACTATTCCACTTGAATATAAAAACAACCATTTGTTATGGAAATAATTGAAGTATGTTTATATGCAATCTATTAACAAATAACTATGTTTAATTTACCTGAAACTTTGCTGTTAGTTTTCCTGCTGAAGTATAAATCAATACTACAGGTTTATTGGATCCTTGGACTTTAACTAATTTTTTAGGATGTCTGGTAATTGCAATAGAACCTCCATAAGGAGCTGCTGCTATTAAATTAGTATTGCTTACTTCGTTTTGAAAAGTAAGAGGATAAAGTTCAAATTTTCTGCAAACATTAATGAAATTTATATTATTTAATTATACTTATTTGTTATATACAAAGTAATAATAAATGTCATTACCGAAAATATATGTCACGTCCTAAAGGAAACCAATCAGCAGTTATCATCGCAGACATTTTCCTAATTGTTTTATTTTAAATATAAAAAAAATAAATATAATTATATATGTACATATAATTCTAATCGTTATAGTAATCATACATTGAGGTTAATTTACGTTTATTTTTTATTTGACAGATCAACCACAAAGTTTAACATTTAATTTAGATTGTTCACCGCCTTTTGTTTAAAGCATGTGCGATTTTAGCGACAAATTGTGGACAAAATATGAAATACAAATACGGCAAAGAAGGTCTCTACTGTGCACCTGAATTATTAATATAATGTGTGCATTAAAGCGCATTGGATAATTTTATATTTCGATGAACAGTATCCATCCATAAGTACTTTTTATATTTTGAATTTGAAATTGAAACATTATTTATTGATTATTGATTATATATATTATAATGATTGCATATATTTAAAATATATATAAATACATTCAATTAACACTTTGCCTACATTACCGATCCCGTCGGTAACATAGATAACATAGAAACAAGAATTCTCGTTTTTCCATTAGATGGAGCCTTATGTACAAATTTTGGAAGTTAACATATTTTATTTTTGACAGTTGTCAAACTAACATTCATAGTTGGACGTATTATGATGATTTAAAATTATGACGATTAGAAAAGGAATGATGGTAATTTTAATTGATATAAATTTGTTATAAATTTGACACCATAAAAATATCCAAGCAGAAAAATTATTTCAGCAAAAATTATCCATTTTGTGTGAAGGGTTAAATTATAATTTACATCTATACACGTACTACACCAATAAAACAGTTTATAATTTTTATGCTATCAATCGAAACAATCTATAGGTGGAATATTCTTAGGGTGAGCGAATCAGATTACAATCGTATAACAAATTACGATCGATGTTGTGTTTTGAAAGTGCGGTATCATAGCAACGTCGTCCGAAATAGTGTAGAATATTAACAAGACAGTTGTTCTCGTTTCGAAGTGATTACAATTATATCGAATGTGAGGATGTATTGTTAAATTTGTAATAATAATTAAGAAAATGTCATTGTTTAAAACAAAAGAATGGTGGAGAACGAAATGTGGATCTAACGAAACGTACGATCGATCGAGTCTACTCGTGGTTCCTTTATTTGGCGAGGATAAAAAGGATTGCATTGTCACCGGCAGTCATGAAGGATATTTAAGAATCTACAATTTATCATCTCAATGGGATGATGAAACTAAATCATCAACAGGTTACAAATCAATCGATCTTATGATTGAAACTAAAATAAGTGATTGCATTGTCGACATAAAGGCGGGAAAATTAGTGTCGTGAGTATTGACAATATAGTTTGACCAATCACGTGACTTATCTCTTTTCGATTTTCTTTCGATTATTTCGATAATCGAAATATGCGATTCTTTAAATTTAAAAATATGTATTTATCGTTATAGCGGGTCACAAGATTCTTGTCTGGCGGTATTAACATCGAGCAAGCTCATCGTTTACACGGTTACATTGACGAAAGGATCTATCGATCAAGGTTAGTATAAAAAATCAATTGAGTTAAGAAAAAATATTCTATTGATTTTCAATGTTTTCTTTTTTTTACGTACAAGTATATGCATATGTTTCTTGACATATATTCGTTTAATGGCTGCTTTAAGATCGATAGGGAAATCTTGAGACTTTGTTGGTGTCGGATCGAAAGTTATTTCTGATGGATAATTAATAAAATCTTATGTTAGCTCTCGAAGATTTGCCCGAGGCTGTGCTCGTGTATTTCGTAACTGCATTATATGCTGAAAGCGTGCACAGCACAGGTAGCGATCGCATCTTGGATATATGTGTATGCATACCTATGTATGTTTGAAAACGTATGCGAATATTTTCATATGTATTATATATGCGATGTATGTAGGTATATGGTATGTGTGTAAGTACGCGAATGTATGCTGATATGTATATATATATATGTGTGTACTTTGTATCCCGTTATATAGGTTTTACTTGAATTGCCTTAAGGCTGCTTTCACGAGTATGCCTGGAGCCATGTAGTATCGTTAAATTCAATGGGCATAGTCATTATTCTACAATAATTCGGCGTAATCGAAGTATAGACTCGGTGTCGTCACTTTCTCGGTTCGTTTAGCGCGCCTTTTCAAGATGGCGTCAATTCAGCGGTAGATAGAAATTATTAGCGTTACGATTTATGTAAGTATACTACATAAACTTACTTTTACATATGCATTAACGTTAGTAAATATATATGTATATATATACATACACGCATAATGATCGCATTTCATTGATCGTACGATATTGTCATTCCTTCTCTCTTTACCGTCCCTGTTCTCGCGCGTTAAGGTATAACGATCTCGTAAACCGTGCACCCGAAGTACAAATATACACGCAAATGCGGCCGCATGAATCCGCTTGACCCATATACCAGACAGGAATCACGTTTGTTCGTTTTCTCGACTCTTCTGCCGGTTGTTTAGCAAATGCTGAGGAGTAAAATCTCTTACCAAGTATAATAATATCAAGGAAGGAATCATGTTCAATGTATCATGTACATGCATATACATATGCATATATGATTATTGCTTTTTTCTTTTTTTTAATATATTTGTATGACACTTATATTTGATCAGTATTTTATAATATAAATATAAATAATAATTTACAAATGATTGTAGCATTTATAATTGCAAAGAAAACTTGCAATAACTGCAAGATTTTATTTAAAATATCGATCAGAAAAATGTTGGAAAAAATGTGAACCTATTAAGTAACAGCAGCTATTATTTTGTATCTTTTATTATTGCAATTTATTTGATTGTCTGTATTCTACATCACTTTCTCTTTGTATTCTAGGTGATCAATGCAATCTCAAAATTGCATATGAACACAGACTACCAAGATTTCCAGCATCTCTTGTAATTGGTCCATTTGGTGGTGTACGTGGTAGAGACTTCCTATGCGTTCAATGCTTGGATGGAACGTTATTCTTTTACGAGCAGGAGGCTTATGCCTTCAGTCAACTTCTGAGGAATCGTCTGTTGCCCGAACCGATCGTTTACATTTCGCGGAACGACGTCTTCGTCACATCGAATTGCTCGTGGATCCTCGAATGCTACAGGCATGTAATACTTAGTACATGCATACTATACCTATAAGTATTTCTTGCTTACGCTTCCAGGTAGTTCACTTGATGATGACGAGAACCCATTGTCTCTTTCTCTTTCTCTTATATGTACTTTTTAAATTCAAGTATACTTCACACTAGAGTCTATACTTGGAATTTATCTTTCAGCATATTTTTATTACAGAAAATTGTTAAAAAAAATGATTTTCAAACGAAATTCCTCGAAAGAAAATATTTTACTATCAAAATTATAAATGTTCTTATTACACATTTGGATTTTTGTTTTTGTTTATTATTTTACTTGATAATTAATTAATAATTTAATTTAGGTATCAAAACATAGCAGAGTTTGGAAGAAACCAAAAAAACGAAGAAACGGATAACGAAACAGCAACGAAATCTTTGGAACCAGAATGGAGTTACAATATAGGAGAAGCTGTAGTTGATATCAATGTTGTTATCTTGAGTAGTTTCGAGATCGGGATCGTCGTTCTCGGAGAGAAAAATCTCTACTGCTTCAAGGATACCGGTGTTTCGTTAAAGTACACAAAAAGGCTCGACTACAAAGCACTATGTTTTCACGCTTACGTCATTGGTAATCATCATTTTCATAAGAAAGATAAAAGTGAAAGAGAAAAAGAAAGAAAGAAAAATAACCGGAACGCGCGTTTTAACTTTGAAAAAAAAAAAAAAAAAGAAAAAAAAATATGTAAATTCGCTAAAGTTATTCGTCATTTTTCAAACGTGTAATTTCAATGAGATTCTTTACTTTGTGCGAGTTAAAAAGAAAAACAAAAATTATACTCATATACGGGCTCTTTCTACAGGGTGTAACAAAAATTACTCTCTACGCGATGATAATTTATTATTATTATAATAACTCAGGAAAATTAATTTCCATCCGCATACCAGTGTTGATATCATCTAATTTCTTCTTTATTTTTGTTTTGTTTTGCAATACAACTCATTTGTTAAGTTTACATGGGGTATTTTGATTGCACACTGTAGAAATGATTAAAAGCGCGTATCGGTGTAAAGTAAGTAAATACCGAGGATACTTTAAACACACACAAAAATAAGATAAAAAAAATCATTTTCTTTCATGCTTATCTTAGAACCGGATGGTAAACTGATGGTGTGCGTAATTGCCGATACAAGCACCTTGATGATTTACGAGGGTACTACTCTGAAGTGGTCGGCTCAGCTACCGTTCGTTCCGGTCGCTGTAACTAGAGCACATTTTCAGGTAAAATCGTTGCATTTTACATGTTACGTCGGTGGTATCGTCTATTTAACGACGTAACGACGTAAAGCGATTCCTGAACCGTCGATATCAATGTTAGCATCATTTTTACATTAACCTTTGAAAGGATCATTAATCTTTTCGTTTACGAGGAAAGAGATCTTGGGGTCTCGTCGGAAGATAGAACGAAGAAAGAAATAAACATTTAAAGTAAACCGATAGGAGGGGAATGGAGGTATGAGGAAAAAACAGTAAAGAAAAAAGAAAAAGGGGCGGGAGGGGGGAGGCTGAAGAAGGAAAACACAACAAAAGATAGGAAGAGGCAGGAGGAGGTGTACTGCGAAGGACGAGAAGCCGGTAATTATCGTCCTGCCTGTTCTTTTATCTTATCGCTATGCGCAGCAACGTCCAGCAAGGTTGCCATTGTTGTCTTTCCGGAGGACAGACAGTGCAAACTGTTAGTTAATTGCTTTAATACCGAGAACTGATTCGATAATCAAACATATTTTATCACCCTTGTACAAAAACTACATCTATTCTCAAAAATTAATCGAGTCAAATGAATGGAAAAAAAGAAGGAAAAATAACAAAAAAAATAAAGTCAAAATTAAAAAAGTAGGTTCTTCCTGGAATATTTCGCACAAATTTCGAGAAGGAGTATGTGTGCATTGGTAGATAATTCAACCACGATTAAAGTTAATACATGGGTGGGATGAGAGAGAGAGAGAGAGGAATTGCAATGAAATTGTATTTTTCAGTACCTGGACGGTTTAATCGTTATACTCTCGGAGGAAGGACAATTGGAAGCCTGTTATTTAGGTTCGGAACCTTCAATGTTCGTAGCACCGGCTGTTCATCGACGTGGTTTTGATTATGTTGCCGCCGAAGAGGAATTATTAGAACTACGTAGGAAATTAAAGGAGATGAAACTTTCTGGTAAAAATGATTATTTCTTTTTAACATAAATAAAATATATATATATTTTAGTATTGAATAATCGACATTTATATAAATCGTTAAAATATTTATATAAAAAAAAAAAAAAAACATCATCTACCGATCTTGAGAGTATCGTATAGCATATAAAATTATTTTTATATGATTCGTTTTAATCTTATTTGAGTATCTCGTTGTACACAGGAGAACAACTTGCGGTCACACCTGTAACGGATATGGAACTGCTCGTTAATGTCAACATTTCACCCGATCTGGAGCCTTGTCCTTTCGTCGATAAAGAATCGAAAGAGGATCAAGAGATACGACAAGTGTCTATGTGCAGGGCAACCATAGAATTGTCCTCTTACACAACTCTTTACGGTGTGCAAGTTTGCATCGACGTGTCGAAACCATTCGTCTCTACGATCACTTATCGCGTCGTTCAAAATCTCTGTGAGTAGTATATCGTTGAAAACTTTTCGAACATGATCTTTGTATAATTTTAACTGGAGTTTTTTTTTTCTTTTTTCTTCTCAAGAATCCATCTTTATGTATATGTATTTTTCTTTTTTTTTTTTTTTCAGGCGACAAACACGTTATTCAAACGTTGATTTATCCGAACGGTAATTTACCGATTATGTCATCCGAAGTTAAAATCACAGCAACGTACGAAAACGATCGTGGGAATCTTCGAATAATACAAAAGACAACGGAATTGCCCTTAAAATTAATGTTGAAAGCTTGTCCCCCCGAAAACACTTCTACCTTCACGGTTACCATAAAGTGCAACGAATCTCTTGTCGGTTTCAATCAACTCTTTCCGGGTAATTTACTCATGTTAATCGTCTAAGTTTCGTAACGACATGGTCGAAGAGATGACATTTTTTAATCCAAAAAAGAAAAAAAAATATTACGTTTAAACCAATTATCATATCTTCTTGAAGAATTTACCGGAGACCACCTTAGAAGGCAGAATTGGAATACGTTAGGTCTGCAACATATCCAAACTGGGCACGTGGTGACAATCGTTTCCGGTAGTACAAGCAACCGATATCGAGTGCAGTCGAACGACGGTCTATCGATGTCCTTGGTGGTACAGCAGTTGGTTAACAGGCTCAAGGACAAGTCGGCAGGAAGGCTCGCAGCATCCATAAGCCAGCATCACGTGCAACTGGTGCACGTGCAGATGGAACTTCACTTTCTATGTCGGCAGGAAGTTGATCGAATAAACGTACGTCGTTTTCATTTGATAAGCTAATGTTTTATCATATCGTTTCAATGATCTCATCTCTTGGCTTTACCCGATGATAATTATTTTTTTTGTTTTTATTTTTATAGAACAAATTTTATCTAACAAACATAATTAATTTGATTATCGTGTAATTACATCTATATACAAGTTTTGTTCTTTTCTTTTTTCTTCTTTGGAATGTAGACGGAATTAGGTTTGCTGATGACCCAGTTGAGAAACATCGAGAAAAGAATGTTAAGAACTGCGAGGGAGAGGAATGGCCGATCTTTAAATGCTGCAGGATTATCCTTCCTTTTAAACTCGACTTACGATGCAATCTCCGGACTCCTTGATAATCTTGCTGCAGCACAAATGGTACATTTTTATTTATCCTCATTTTTCTTTCAAACAAATCCTTTCTAATCGTTTACAACATCCATTCTAAAAAATAGTGAATTTACAAATACTGAACTGACCGTTCTTGATCTGAACTTATTTTAAGCTGTTCATCCTATACAATAGCATGCATACTAAATGGCCTTCGTATTCAGAGAACATTTCTTTGTCTCTCTCTCTCCCTCTCTCTCTTTCTTTCTCTATCTCTCCCTTTGAGACCATCCCGAATCCCAAACATTCCAATGGCAAAAGAAGCGGATTCATTTAACAATATCCAGCACTTTAGAGGGAGGTCGTTAAGACTTTCGTTATCTGCATATCTTTCGATCTTACCTGAAGCCGATATCGCGGGTGCACGAATCGAGCGGTAATTGCCTACTATAGTGAATACCATTGGTACTTATTTACCCAAGTGCTTCGGTCTATACTGCAGTAAGAGCAATCGAACAATCTACTTCGTGCTGCACGTAGGAGCTCCGTTGTAAAGATTCAAGAAGAGATTTAATATCTATCCGGAGAGGATCCATGTACTTACATATAATTTCACCTCTTTTAACTTTCTCTGTCGAAAGAGAAAAATGAAAGAGTGAGAGAAAGAGGGAAACGTTCTTTAGTACACTTTTTATAGCTTCTTAGAAAATTAAATGAAATAATATGACGCATATGATAAGTCTGTTAATTATTATTACTCATATTTTAAGATGACACATATTTCTTAACCCTTTTTTTCTTAACCCCTTCTCGTTTACCAACGCTGACTAATATCTTATTAATAGATGAAGACTGACCAATCGAATTTTTCTATCATTAAGATTCTGATAAACTCTTATAAATCTAACGAGTCCATCGGTGAGAAGGAGGGAAGGAGGGTTAGGGTAGAGAAGGGGTTGGGGTAGGCAAAGAAAAAAAAGAGGTATCCTATGATTGCAGTGGATTATGACAGCGTGTGTGTTATCCGGATGTTGCAGAAACGAGAGCATGCCAGGCATGGTTTGCACTGCGCGCTGAGGTTGCTGCTCCTGCTCTTGCGGCTTAACGTAAATAACGATAAGTATATGATTCTGGAGTCGGCGATCGGATTCGAAGCACAGCTGCGTGACGAAGTTGTAAGTGTATACGGATATGTATATACGTATATATATATATATATATACTCTTATTAAGATATATATAGATATAGATTACAGTACTTCCAAAAAGTATGTTTATACTGTTGGAAATGAAATCACTATTTTATCATTATAAAAATATTATACTACTTGAATTTTGTATTTATTACTTTACGATAGGCAGTTTATTTTATATAGTAAGTTATTTTTACTTAACTAGAGTCGTATAAAGATATACTTTTTATTTAATTATATTGTAAAGAGATACGCCGACGTTATACATACAGATTACACATGAATCGTAAATACATACATATGCGTTTATACTTAGGAGTCATAGCAGATGTTCATTCAGAGCAAAGTATATCAATATAAAAATAATGATTTTATTGTTAAAAAGCTCAAGCCATTGATTAGCGATTGGTTGATAATAATATATCAGCGTTATATTGTTGTTATACATATGTAGTAACTTATGTAGGTGTAGTACCTGATCTCTTACGCTCGTTCTTAATCTCACTTGTAAGCTCTTGGACATTCTCCGGCTTCGTACGTGTTATCGCATACAATGTCGTACGATAAGTTAGGGGGAAAAGGTGCCGCCTCTTTATAAGTGTAAACATTTATGACCAATATAAATATTTGATGTTCATTCGTTTTTCTTTTTTCTTTTTTTTTTTTTATCATCTCAAGTTTGCATTATCAATTATCCGGAATTTAATTACAACATTTTTTGCCACTGATTTTCTTTCACATCAACGATAATCGTTTTTCTTTTAAATAATCGAGATATTATTTCTTTTTTCTCTTTATAATTATAGAATTGGGAAGAAGTTGCGGACGCTGGACTGGCTGCATTTTTAAGATCCACCTCAAAGAAACCGTCCAACTTGGAGAGCAAATCTTTAACTTGGAACAAATTTACGTCAATGAAAGATATAGCGAAGTTAAAGAAACGCTTGACACATGCTGTGGAACGATTAGATGTTTGTAAAGAGTCCGGTATTGATGAGAATGAGACCGAGAACGGTAATTTTAATTTCTCTTAATCACAAATCACCGAATCTCGACTTAACTTTGAGATAGAAAAAGAAAAAGAAATAAAAAAGAAAAAAAAAATAGAAAAACGATAATGAGATAAAATTAAATAAAAAAATAAATAAATAAAAAGAAATAAAAATAAAGAAAAAAATTGGCATGCTTGATTAAAGTGGATGTACCATACGTGCGCGTTGATAATGCCAAGTTTTTATTAAGACGATTTCACGGAAGCAATAAAAAACATTGATTCCATTGCTCATTCTGACACATCGTCTCGCGTATGATTGTACAAGAAGAAGCACATACCAGCGAAGTCATATGCACCGCTATGAGCTAGCTCTCATGTATACATATATATATATATATATATAAGAGTATATCACATCCAGGTACGTAGTGCAAACAGCAAAGAGAGACAGTGAGAGGTGGAGGAGGAGGAGGAGGAGGAGAAAGAGGAGGAGGGGAAGAAGGGGACACGTGTGTGCATTTACGTAAGTACACCTATCTCTCGTTGGGCCGATAATTTTATTCCACTGGTCCGCGCGCGTTGAATCGAAATAGCGAAGTCAATTGCATAGCTTGTAATCGCTGCGGAATGATTCACTCTGGCGCCATGATTCTGCTTTTTCGAGGTTAATTAATAGGAAGAATGTCCGTGGCAAAGCATGCGTTTAAGTCGTCGAGAGCAATAACAGTATGCGCTTTGTTCGATCATTTTCAAACGATCCTTAAGACCATTCGATCTCCCTTGTATATACATATATATATGTGTATATATATATATACAAAAATATATATGTGTCTCTAGTGTATATATGAATAATGTATGCAAAATGGCGTGTAAAATACGTTTAGGATTTAAAATGTTAAGGCCCCTATGGCGATTTGAAAAAAAGTCTAACTAATAGTATCTTTTCAGAACTGTCAGCACAACGCAAGACGTAGGAGAGCCAGCCCAGAATTATCTCCATAATGATCTTCGAGATCACCGAGATCACGCGAACCTGGCCAAGAAAATCTATCGTTGGAAAAATTCAAATCTACTCGATTTGAATATAGTGTGTAGTATATATAGTATATATAGTGCGTACTGGTAATATTATAGTATGCTTATATACTCTTCGATAACGTCTTACAAGTTACTCTAGGTAAGTTATAATAATATTCTTATTATTATTATAGTTTTTCATTTAATCTTACATACTTTCTTCCTTTATTTCTTTATAACATCGAGATTACGTAAAAACGATCTACACGCGAATTTAGTTTGAAAAGTAAATGTGTCGTATGTATATATATATATATCTACTAGTAATATTACTACTCTCTATTATATCATATTTAACATTTTCTATATCTTTCGGATTATGGTAATGTAAAAGGGAAGTTTATAAATTATTTTTATATATATATGTACGTGAAATATATTCTAGATGTTCTAAGATAACGAATATATAGATATAACTATTCTTTTTAATAGACGATCGTCACCACAGATCGCAAAAGTTTATAATCTAGACGATGTTTTTCTTCTACACGTTGGATTAACGAGATCACGTAAGAGGGAGAATAAATTATTTCGAAGAAAAATTCTGGTCTCTATCTCTCTCTATCTCTAGTAATAGTAGTAGTTCGCTACTTTTCTAACATCTTTCGCAAGCCGGTAAGTCGTAAGAATGTTTTTCTTCGAGGATGTTTCGCGGAATGGCTGCTGAACGACGTCGGAAGCGACGGGTTTAGAGAAAAGGCCGCATCCTCGATGCGGACATCTCCGGTGACAAATGGACACGCGAATCATTCTCTATCTTTCTCTTTCTCTTTCTATTTATCTCATTCTTTTTTCTTGGCATCCGTTTCTTATCCATACACTTGACTCCCTCCTTTGATCTTCCCTCCTGCCGGCCCATTTACGTTTCACCTCTTCTTTCACAGTCCCACTAAAGAGGATGATAGGATTACGTGGAAACTCTGGTCTGAGTCCTCGATCGAGCTTCCCGGAAGAACGGACCTTCATCGGCACAAGGATGACTGTTTCCTGCCTGCTCACTTGCTTGCTTGCTTGCTTGCTTACTTACTTGACTGCGATCCTTCTCGTCCTCTTCTAAGCAACATCAGCAAAAGCATCATCATCATCATCATCATCATCATCATCATCATCATCAACCACCACCACCACCACCACCACCACCACGTAAGATAGAACGCTTGGAATTAGAATTCTTTTCTTATCCTTCTCCTACTACAGAGATTATTCCTATGTGTTGCACCGTGCACTGGTAAGCTTATGTTCAATCGAGTAGACCTGATATAAAACGAAGGAGAAAGAAAGAGAGAGAGAGAGAGAGAAAGAAAGAAGGAAAGAGAGAGAGAGAGAGAGAGAGAGAGAACGGACGGCGTTTTTAAAGGCAAGCGGATATGTCCGAGAGAAAAACTGGTTCTAAAGCAAGATGCATATAATATACTGCGTCCGCGGGACGCGTAGGACGAATTACGGAGTTCGATATGGCGTTACGGTGAAAGGCCGATCATCCTGTTGCTTAAACTTTTTTATTTTTTATTTTTTATTTTTAAATTTTTATTTTTCTTCTTTATATTTTTCTTGTAACATCGTCCAAGGTATTTAGAGGGAGACGACTGCAGGTGTAGCTCCTTTTTAGAATCATTATTATTATTATTATTATTATTATTATTATTATTATTATTATTATTATTATTATTATTATTATTATTATTATTATTATTATTATTATAACTTATAATTAGGGTTGCATTATATAGAGGGTTATAAAGGGAACTCTTTTATAAAAGAAAAATTAAAAGGAAGTTTAAGATATGCATGTAATATAATTTTATGAATGGAACAGTTACGCGTTCCAATTTTTCTTATCTTTTATTAAATAGTCTATTTTTTTTCCTTTTTTTTTTTTTTTTAAACATTTTATGGCACCTCTCGTCTATGGAGATTAGGCAAATGTGATAAAAAAAGTAACGATAGAGAAATTTTAATTAGTAAACAAAATTGATAAGGAACAACTCCTGCGTTCTGTATTGAGGAAAGAAATACACGATTTGAATTAAAGCTCAACAACAACGTTAAACGACGATACCGGGAGACCGCAACGTGCCTGTTGTTACCGGAAGTGTCCTCAAGATTGCATGAAAAAAATTAGAACAGCAGAAAAGTATATTATCGACCGCCCCACGTCGTCATAAATACGATTGGCGAAACGTTTATTTCGCGATAATAATTGTTGGCACAGTTAACTGTATCTGTTTCAACCATCGGACTAACGTAATTATTATTATTATTATTTATTATTATTTTCAAGTTTATTTTCCTATTATATTGTTGACAGGATGAAATAATCTCGAGAATAGAAACGTATCTTTGTTAGAGAAAGAAAAATATGTGTAATTTTTTATCTTAATAATACTGGTTATCTCTTTCGTTTCTATGAACAACTCACCACTTCGATATTTCTTTTGAAAATGAGACCACCCCGATGGATTTTCAATCTTTAGGACCACCTTTGGGGAAACGGTTTTCAAAGAGCGTGAGAACGAAGATTTTAGGAGATAAAAAAGAGAAAAGAAAAGAAGGATAGAGTTGAAGGTAGAAAGAATGGATGAAAGAAGGTTGAAATAACCGAAAGTTTAGGTCGTCCTGCTAAAAAGGACGTTTCATCCTTCCGTAATTGATGGCTTTTGACCAATTACCTCATCTTCGGTGCACTCACTATAACCATCGAGATTTTCTGGATCTACTATGGAATTTGTACGATCTCATGGGGTCTATCTTTACTAACTATATCGTATTTTGTTTTCTTTTTTTTTTTTTTTTCATGCTATCCACATTAACTATTTCGTTTCACGTTAATATTACTAAAATATTTTTTGTCAAACTGATGTTAATGGTGTGTTGCTTTTTCTTTTCTTATAAAGCTTACCTTTCAACTTCTTAATACGAGAATAAAATATGGATATATAATTCGTTTTCAACGATCAAGATATCTATAAGGAAGAAAGATCGTAGATTAAATATTTTTACAAGTATCCCATGGTGCGTCCATAGTAGGAGGATTTATGTCTACGTTGATATCGGAAAAAGAAAAATCGTGTAGTAGGAATAGAAACTAAGGGTGTCTCGTAAATCATAGATAAATGGGCTGACAGAAAAAATATTATTTACATTGGTCACACGTACTTTATAATTGATTCGACTTATTATGTCGGTTGTTTTTGTTCTTTTTTCTTTATTTTTTTTGACCAAAAATTGTTTGATTTCTATGAATAGATTTTTTCTCATAGATTTTTCCACGATTAATATAAAGATAAAAGAAACTCTCTATTTCTCTCTCTCTCCCTTTTTTTTTACTTATGTATTTCTTTCGCAACTATGGTAAAATCGATAAGACAGTAAACATCATAGAGATGATACATTAGTAGAAATGTCTTGTAAAAATGTGTTTGAAGTACTTGAGAAAATTAGAGAAAGCTTTGGTATATACGAGCAAGTATGAATTGCCGTTTATATATGCACGCATGTACATAAGCATGGATAGAAGAAGGAGTATCTGTTATGTGAGGTCGAAATAAGAAGTGGCTCTTACGCGGCAGATATCAAAGAAACAGCAGATATAGTGATGATGAAGTGGAATTTTCATTTAGTACCGGTCATCGTTCTATTTCGGATTTCCTTCTTCTTCGATTACTTGTTAACAACAGTACCTAAGTTATGACGTTTATGATATATCATCGATGGACTTGAAATTCCTCACACGAGAGATATCAACAATATGGTATTGCATTGATAGTACATATATACACTCCGTTAAATGTGATGTATTATACCGTTGATAGGATAATAATCATTTATTAGTTTGAGATTTTCAAGGTGGTGATCCATCACATATGCAACATATATATATATATAAGTACGTACATAGGAATAAAGATTTATATTAACTGTAGGAAGAAGGTATATCGCGGAATAAAATATTCAATTTCTTATCAAATCCAGCCAATTATTCGGAAA